AATATAAATCAATATAAACACCACCACGTAAATATAAATCAATATAAACACCACCACGTAAATATAAATCAATATAAACACCACCAAGTATACTAGCAAATAACTAGACACAACCAAGTGGACTAGCAAATGAATAAATACAAACAAATGGATCAACAAATGAATAATTAATTCTAAAATAAATAGATCAGCAATGATAAATAACTAAACAGATAGATATCATTTGATAACACTTTTAATATCAATCTAATAGAAGGTGAATAAATTACGAGCACTGATTGAAAAATATCAATGAATATTCAATATAAAAATTTTTTAATAATAATTGACGTAAATGAATGAGAACTCAAAAGTCTAAATAAATAAAATGACCAATGGCTAGCGGTCATCTCATTGACCACTATATTCATCACTATAGATGTCGTTAGTATATAAATAAGTTAACAACTAATTGCATTGGTTTCAATCAGAAACGTTTCTCCTTACAACGTTTCCATCACTTCCAAAAAAAATATATATGTAATTCATTATCTTTAATTTTATTCATTATAATTATAGATCTCATTATTATTATTTTCCATTTGAATTTGATATAATATTAATCCTTTAACGTGCACCACTTAAAAAATTAATCAATTCAAACTATCGATGATAAATGTTTCATCACGTCATCCGTTGCGCATACGTTTAACGTGGTTAAGCATAACCATCATTCACGTAATTCATTACCAAATTATGATAAAAAATTTTTATAAATTAATAAACAACGATGATAAGAATATTGATTAAATTATCGATAAAATTATTTATAAAGATTTTAATAAAGATTGAATAAGACGATTTGATGTTGTTTAATGTTGTTTCTAATGCATCAAGTAGAAAATGTGCATTCAAACGATCAGATGATAAACTATATACTGTCATGAAATTTGTTCAATACGACATTCTTGTTCTTGTTGATTTTTATTTAAATTTGAATAAAATAAAAAAAAATTTTTATACAGATTTGTTTTCATATTTTGATCATTATCAATATTTAATAACAATTTATCAATTGAAAATGAACAAGATTCAAGCCATAATGAATCTATACAATAATTTAAATGTTTTGACCATATATTGTCATATAAAGATTTTAAATAATGATCATTTATTAATGTATCTGAAGATAAAATTAAACCAATATGTCCATAAGGTAAATCTAATAAACGTGGACATTTATTTAAATGAAATGATTTCATATAATTTGATGGTGATAAAAATAATAAAGTATTCAATATAAATGTTAATTCTTTCGTAAAATCATATATTAAAATTGATTCTAATTTTTCATATTCGTTTCGATGTATTAAATCATTAAAATGATCATATTATATTTGTTGTAGGATTTGATTTATCTAGTGATAATTTATATCGTTCGATGCTTTCTGTATCTTTTAATGAAAGAGAAAAGGCAGCTGCTACTGCATTTGCAACATCAGCTTCAAGAAATTCAATAAATTCTTCAAGATCATTCCTTTGTGTACGCATTTAAGTTTAATTTGTTGAAATATAACTTGACATGATGGTTGAAATGAATCAATGGCTATAAAAAAAAATGCAAATAAATTTGGAAGATCATTTATTGATAACATTCGGTTATTTGGTTTAAATATATTTAAAAATAATTCATCCATAAGTACAACTCTTATTTTATCTTCATGACGTGATTTTCGTTTAAGAACATTTTGAAAAACTTGATGGATAAATATTTGAATATCTATGTCTTCAGAATATTCTAAAAGATAAACAATATGATCATATTCTTGTTTGAAAATCATTGGAAAAAATTGTCGAAGAATTTTTTTTCAAATTTTCTTTTAATTTGATAATTTCGAAACCGAAGCATCATCATATTATAGATCAAGTTTTGTACGTAATTGATCAATTAATACACACTGTTTTTCTATCGTTACAGATGTTGGTTCACCTTCTAATGAACCAGATGCAGCTGCATAACGTGCTAATTTATCTAATTTTTGTTTTAATTTACTGATAAATTCTTTTTCACGACCTTTTTCATTTCCAATTAATTCTTCATTTGTACAATCATTTCTATACATTGATGATTGACACATAACATCAGGTATACCACATGGAGCAAATTCATGTGATTCTAACCGTAAACTTATTTATAAAATTGTCTATAAAATTATTTTTTCTAAAAATATTGATAAAGATATTGATCACGATTTTGCCAAAGATATTAATAGATATTTTAATAAATATATTGATGATAATTCTGATAGAATTATTGATGATAGTTCTGATAAAATTATTGATGAAGTCAGCAATAAAACCGTTTATAAAAATATTTATAAAAAATATTTGTGATAACATTGATAAATTTGGTGTTGTGAATTTTATTTTATTTTTTCTGTTCTTTAATTTGATTTTGAAACATAAATGGGTTTGATATCATTTATGTGTACTTGTGTTTCACATTGAGTTGTTTCATCTTTAACAACATAAACTGGATGTTTTTCTTGAATAATAATTTGTGGTGTAATTGAATATTTTGGTTCTAATTTATTTTTTAAACCATGTCTTCGAATCAAAACTCGATCATTTATAGAATAATGAGGGTCAGCACGTTGTTTATCATAACGAGTTTTATATTGATGTTGTTTATT